TTGTTGTATATTAATAATGGGGTAGAGGGTGTCACAGGGGGATCCACTATAGCCACCTTTCTGTATACCATTGTGGTAGATCGTCTCATAATTAAGATTAACGAGGAAAACTTCCTCAAAAAAATTGTTCAATGGCCTCAAGATCGATAAGGATCAAGTTGATATTTCTATATTGCAATATGCAAATGACACTATATTCATGGGAGATGTGTGTGTGGGCAATATCATTGTAATAAAAAAAAGTGTGCTTAGATGCTTTGAATTGGTATCAAGGTTGAAAACTAATTTTTCCAAGATCTATTTTGGGGCAGTGGGTATAAAGAGGAGTAGGATGGAAAGGTTTGCACATTTGTTGAATTGTAGTTTGATGGATGTGCCATTCATGTACCTGGGCATCTAATCCAAGATTACAAACCACTTAGAGGCCGACTATTAGTAAGATAAAGAAAAAATTAGCAGGTTGGAAACGTAAATTGTTATTTCTAGCAAGAAGAGTGTGAGTGATAAACACTGTATTAACATGGCTACCTTTATTCTACCTAGCATTTTTCAGACTGCCAACCAATGTAGTTAAACATATTACTACGGTCTAGAGAAGTTTCCATGGGGTTGTAATGAAAGAAGTGAAAAAATAGCTTGGGTTAGCTAGGATAAGATCACAAGAACTAAAACCATTGGGGGCTCGACATAAAAAACATTAAATAATTCAATGTGTCTCTCATGGCAAAATGGATGTGGAATCTGTTCCACCAATAAGATACATTGTGGGGAAAGGTACTGACTTCAAAATATGACTAAAGGAATTATTTTAGTACAAGTAATATCATTAGCAAGGATTTCATATGGTGGAGATATCTAATTAACATTTGTGGTGGCGAATGTCAAGGTAATTGGTTTCATAGTTCAAGACAATAGAAAGTTAGAGATGGTGGGCAAATCAGATGCTGGTTGGATAAATGGCTAGGAACTGAATGCTTAACAATTGCATATCCTAGACCTTTCCAAAATTCTGAATAAAAACTAAAGTGGATTGTTGATATGGAAAAATGTAGTGATGGTGCTTGGGTTTGGGAGTTAATTAAAGTGGCGTAGGACATGGTTCAAATGGGAAAGAAATCAATTGGAGATGATGTTGCATGAATTGTTGAGTACAAATATTTGAAAACAGATTCAAGATTCATGGATTTGGTTGCTTGGACAATCCAAAAATTTTATGATGAGGTCAACTAATAAAACAATCTAGGCAATTAGGAGAGGTGGATAGGTGGAGAATAATTTTAAACAAACTTGGAATATAAAAGCTCCCCCAAAGGCACAAAATTTTATTTGGAGACTGTTTCACTATGAACTACCAACAATTGATAATATATTACACATAAATATTTGGCTTGATAATCAATAAAGATTGTGCCCATTTTGTAAATCAACATTAGAATCCATACCACATCTATTTTGTACCTATAGCAAGGTGGATGATGTTGGGATAAATTTCTTAAGCCAAATAGAAATTTTCCATTTAATAAAAAAAATATGAACCGTTGTCTCAGATTACAGAGTTAATGATAATAACACGTACCTGTATCCATTAACGTTGATCAAAAGGTTGCAGCGGAATAGTCTTTTGGTGCAATGATCTTCCTCAGCCAAATCACTGGATTCCTTGATGGGACTTGATGTTACTCTTCTGATGGGGAGACAGAGAGACGTGTGTTTCTGATTTGGCATATTGGAGACCATGACCATCTTTATGATTTTAAACCTATTAGGGTTCCCATTAACCCCTAACGGGCCAAATCTGGTTTCTACTTATTTGAGCCCATATCAGTTTTTCCTGTTGGCAGTCTAAAGGCTCACTAAAATTAGATCACTTTTATTGAGCCCAACTAAATGTAAATAACTAATATAAATACTACAAATAATATATGTAGCCCACAATAATTATTAGAAATAAAATTTCTAACAATCTCCCACTTGGGCTTCATATTCATTTAAGTATTTATATCAAAAAATTATTTAGGCGCGCAACCATATGCTACTTACTCTTAGACTCCCCTTAAACAATCTGGTCCATCTCATACAACAACAGGGAATCACTACAGCTTTCATCACTATCTAATGTGACTAAACCATAATGATCACCACAATTGAATGCACTCAATGACATAGATCAAATATGGATAAGTGGCATGGAAATTACATGCAACGTGATCTTAATCATGTTTATTTCCAACTGGTCCAAACTTTATTCTTTATAGAGATCCATTCAAAACGCAACATATATATATTGCACAAAATAAGCTCAGAATAGAATTATGAACATCAACTTTATTTCTGTAGAAAATCCAAATAATACAAATATCTGGAAAAAATAAAAATAAAGAAGACACAAAACATAAATGAGACTCCCACTAAACTAAGGTACTATAAGGAATTACACCCATATGAGCAGTGTGCTCATGAAAGACTTTAGGCACCAAACCCTTAGTAAGTGGATCAGCTAGCATAAAATTAGTCCCTATATGTTCTATAGAAATTTGCTTATTCTGAACTCTTTCCTTAACAACCAGAAACTTTATATCAATGAATTTTGACTTGGTTGTACTCCTATTGTTATTGGAATAAAGAACTGCAGAGTTATTATCACAATAGATTTTCAATGGCCTTTCAATGCCATTAACCACACGTAAATTAGTGATAAAATTTCGCAACCATATCCCATGGTTGGATGCCTCAAAACAAGCAATGAACTCCGCAGCCATGGTTGATGAAGCTATAATAGTCTGTTTAACAGACTTCCAAGAGATAGCTCCTCCAGCCAACATAAAGATGTATCCAGATGTGGAGCGTTTACTGTCTTGACATC